TCAGCTTTGTGAGGGCCCTTGTCTGCTAAACAGTGAGTGCCCCAAAATTGGGGGACGGGGGGTCTTGGAGCTTGTCCAACGCCCTCAATGGGGACCCTCTGATCTTCATTCAAGGAGCTCCTTAGCGGTAGCTCAGCACTCCCTGCGAAGCATTCATTGAGCACCTGCTGAGTACCACGCCCCATGCCGGGCTGGACCCCCAGGGCTTGGAGGAGAAGCCGCCAACCTCTTTGGAGCTTCCTGCCTGGAGGAGCAACAGGGACAATCGGGAGAACCAGGAGCCTGGACTCCTTGTCCATCCTGGCCTGGCCATGCTCCTCGGAGCCTGTGACCCAGCAGGACCTGTGGTTTCACAGGGGAAGCACCGAGGCTCCCAGAGGCGGCAGAAGCTGCTCAAGGCCACACCACCCGGAAGTGGGGTTCAAACCCTGGGATTTGAACACCAGCCTTTCAGGATGCAGACACCTGTGTCCTGTGTCCTCCCTCCATGTGCCTGGAGGAGTTTCCTGCCAGAGCCGGTGCTGATAGGAATTCGGTTTGTCTTCCAGATAGGACACAACAGAGAGAGGAGAGGACCGGTCCACGTCACCTGGCAACGAATCCCACTTGGTCCCCCTCGCCTTTCCAGCCCCCGAGAAATGATCCTGGCGCCTGTCCCCTTGGGCCCAAGTCCCTGGGCTCCCCAACCCATGTTACCAGCCATTGTCCAGCTCTGCCAGCCCAGACAATGCCTAAGCCCTGGCTGGGGTCACCACGCCCCAGAGGGAGACAGGGCACAGCTGCATCATGACCCCGGGCCCCCTCTGGGCGCCAAACCCCTGCAGAGGGGCGCAGGAGGTGGGGGGCATTTACATCACCCAAAGGGCAGCGTGAGCCCATCTCTCTTCTCTGGCCACATCCTCCACCCCTCCCTGAAGCCCACAGCATCTCCCCTGGCTGCTGGCGTTGCTCTGGTTTCGCCGACATTTCTAGAACCCGCTGCCTTAGCCCCCAAGGAAAGACGTTAAGACTAAAATGCCAAGCATCTAAGAATCACTGATCTCATGAAGCTTCTAAACCCAATCCTGGAAGGAAGAGGTAACTCACAGAACTGCCGACACCAAGAGAGAGAGGAGTTACCTCCTTCTCTCCTCTTTGGGCCACAGCGCTTCACAGTTTACAGCTAACAAGCTCACTTCCTTGGAGCACCTGTGGGGGCACTGTCCTAAGCACTCTAAGTGAGCCAACTCTGCCTCCACCTCCCCTCCAGGGTAGGGTAGGTGCCGCCATTGTTCCCATTTCACAGATGTGGAAACTGAGGCCCAGAGAGGTTGAGTGACTTGCCCAAGATCACACAGCTGGGAAATGGCAGAGTTGGGATTCCAACCCAGGTCTTCCGAAGCCTGAACCCCTAACCACAATGCTACACTGCCCCGCACACTGTAAAGTACATTTGCATCTAGTAACCTCTCAGCATCCTGTGCGGTCCAGGGGACAAGGCAAGGGCTGTGGCCCCAGATTTACAAGGGAGGAACCCACAGCTCAGAGAGAGAAGCTGACTTGCCCCAAGCCACACAGCTAGGAGGGGCCTCATTGGGTCTCCTGGTTCCTTATTCCTCCTCCTCCCCTTGCTGTCCCCAGTCATTGACCCCTTGGCAACCCTGTTTCTCCTTTTTCCCCTGCAGACCCTCCAGCTGAGCCTGGCTCTCCAAACCCAAGGGAGATGCCCCAGGTGGCTCCTCCCAGACCTGGACCCTCCAGCCCTGCAGGGCCCCCGTGGGGGTGGGGTCTGTGCCGGGCATCGCAGGGGCCTCTGGCATCAGGGACCCTGGCAGGAGCGGATTTATGAGCCGGGCTATTTTATACGTTGCAGCTGCTTCCATAAACCCTGGGCCGGCCTGGGGAGAGGGGCGCAGCTGTGGGGAAACCTCCCGGGCCCTGGAGCCAGTGCCAAATCCTCCTGCTATTTGTGAGCAGCCGGAGAAATCCTGAAATGAAAACTTCCTGAAAAAAAGGTCAAATCCCTGTCCCTCTCCAGACAGGCCCGATCCTTCCCCCACACCCAGTGAAGAGCCAGGATGAGGCAGAGCAGGGCTGGACACAGCGCCAGGCTGCCCACCAGAGACCCCGATTCTCACCAGCTCCGGACGGGTCCCAGCTCCTATCTAGTCTTCATATGCCCACTTATAAAGTGAGGGGCTGGCCTCGATTAGGGGTTCTGAGACCCTCTGAACTGTAGAGGTTCCCTTAAGTCGCTGAGCTCAAACATTCCCACTGTTGAAGGTTCTATGCTCCAACTACTGGCTGTGTGTCCTCGGACAAGTTACTTGACCTCTCTGGTTCTCTGTTTTTCTCGATTGTAAAATGGGGAGAAATAATGACCATCTCATTAACAGGGCTATGAGGGAGAAGTAACCTAACATCCGTAGTTCATAGCAAGTTTCTTTGTAATAGCCCCAAACTGGAACCCACCCGAATGTCCATCAGCAGGTGAACTGACAAATTGTAATACACCCTGACAAGGGACTGCTACTCAGCAGTAAAAAGGAGCGAAATATTGATACAGACAATAACGCAAGTAAACCTCAAAATATGTATGCCAGACCAGAAGAGTGCACTCTGTATGGTTCCATTTCTATAAAATTCCAGAAAATAAAAACGAATCACAGCCCTGGCCGGGTGGCTCAGTTGGTTGGAACATCATCCTGTACGCCAAAACGGTTGTGGGTTCGATCCCCAGTCAGGCAACCAATCGATGTTTCTCTCTCACACGTTGATATTTCTCTCTCTCTCTCTCATCAATAAAAACATATCCTCCGGTGAGGATTTAAAAAAAAAAGAATCACAGTGACAGAAAACAAATTAATAGTTGCCTGGAGACTGGGGCGGGGGGATGGAGAGGAACAGTAAGGAGGGTTTTACAAGAGGTAACAAAGAACCTATTAGAGGTAATGGATGTCCACCATCTTTTTAAAAAATATATTTTTATTGATTTCAGAGAGAAAGGAAGAGGGAGAGAGAGATAGAAACATCAATGGTGAGAGAATCGTTGATCGGCTGCCTCCTGCACGCTCTCTACTGGGGAGCAAGCCCAAAACCCTGGCATGTGCCCTTGACCGGAATCAAACCGTGACCCACTCTTCAGTACCCCCACCCCCATTCCACTACCCCCGAAGCCCCCATTCCCACACTGAGCTGGGGCCCATGTCTTGCGGTGTTTGGCTCACTCCTCTCTCCCTCTTTATGGAGACCAGGCCTGGCCCTGGGACAGACTCCCAGGCTGAGGGCAGCTGTGCGGTTTTATAAGCCCCGGGACAGTAGGGGCCTGTTCAGGCCCTGGCAGATTCCTGGATCCCTGGGAACAGTGAAACCCCCCACCACCCCCACCCCTACCCTCAAGCCCACTCTCCCCCCTGGCCGGCCACAGCCCCCAACCGCTGTCTCCCTCCATGGCTCACTCCCCACTGGTGCCCAGCCAGATGTGTGCCCATAAAAGGCTCTTCTTGGGTAACGGCACTGCAATTGTGGGAGCAGATTGGAGGGGCTCTAAGCAGGAGTGGGGCCCTGCTGTCCCCCACTCCCCAAGGGCTTCATTCATTCATTCACTCATTCATTCATTTATCAAAAAAGCAGTAGAGCCCAGCAGAGAACTCAGACTCGGGAATCAGACTGCAGGACTGGAGTCCTGGCTGTGTGACCCGGGCAACCGACTTCACCTCTCTGGGCCTCAGTCTTCCCACCTGTGATATGGGAATAATAACAGTGCCCACCTCGTAGGGTGGCGAGTCCCTTGCTTGGAGCGGTGCCTGGCACATAACAGGCGCTCGTTAATTGTGAGCAATCATTATTGTCATGGAGCTCAGGAGACTGTGGAAGAGAGGCTGGTCAGGGGCCATCAGGGAAGGCTCCCAGGAGGAAGGGGCATCTAAGCCAGAACGAGAGGGAGTTAACAAGGCAAGGGTGTTATAGGCAGAGGGAATAGCAGCAAAAAAAACTCATAGTTTACTTTTCTTCCTGCACTGGAGCTCAGACCTCCTCCTTAATGCCCCATGGCCCAGGGGACACAGGCTATGGCTAAGGAGACCCAGCTTCCAGTCCAGGGAGCAGCTGACTTGGAAATTCACCCCTGCCTACTCCGCAGGGATCTCCAAGCCTGATCCCATCTTACTTGGTTGTTGCCCATCACAGGGCAGCTTAATGCACTTCCTAGGCACACCCCAGCAGGAGCTCAGGAACAGGCCGAGATCCTGTCACACCCAGAGAGGTTGAGTGACTTTGTCAGAGCCACACAGCCTCCGGGACTCTGTTTGTATTCAATTCTCCCTGTGTTCTTGGGCGGGAGCTGGTCTGGGCTAAGGAAGGGCCGTTCCCCACTGAGCCAGACAGAGGCCATTGTGTGTTGGGAAACCCAAATCCGGCCCCCTCCGGGTGGATGTGGGGTCGGAGGAGGAGAGGGGCCGGAGGAGGAGAGGGGCCGCGGGGGATGGCCTCCCTGCCCCCATCACCTCGGGGCTCCCAGCCCAGCCACATCTGGATTCCAGCTGGCAGCTCCGGGCAGAGGGGAAGCAGTGGCCGCAGGAACTTGCCATCAAAGGCAAGGAGCAGCCTGGTGGCGAGGAGACAAAGGCCAGGGCTGCCTCCAACCCCAGGCGCCAGGGAGGGTGCTGGTGCGGTGAGTGTGGCATTGCCTCCGGACCCACCCCATCCTCAGCCACTCTGCAGGGGGATGGGAAACTGTAGCCTCCCCTGGGAGCCCCCCACTGCCCATGTCTCCTCCAGGGCACCCCTGTGGCCGCCAGGCATGGAACCTGGCTTGTGGCCACAAGTCAGGGCCGCTGCTCAGCCTTGGGGACACACAGCCTTGGGGACATGAGTCAAGGCCCCACCCCCTGGGACACCCCTCTTGCCTCCCTTCCCCACTTGATTCAGCCCCTGGAGCCCCAATGATGTGTCTCCCCCAGAAAGTTGCCCCACCCCATGGAACAGCGCAGGGGAAGTGCCTTTCAGAAAAGCAGCGAGACTCAGGCTGGATAAAGTTTATTGTGCTGGTTTGTTACAGCTCAGCACCGGAAAGTTGTGCAGAGGTTGGGGGGACCCCAGATGGAGGGATGGGGAAGAGGACCCCCCAGAGCCTCCCCAAATCAGGACGGAGCTCAGGCTCCCTGGTCGAGGACTAAAGAAGGCTGTGGACATAGGCTGCCAGACACCAAGTGTGAGCAGAGGGTGGGGAGGGGGGAGGAGGGGTCCTGGGTGCCCTGCTCCAGGCCAGGCGTCAGAGACCCTCCACCCCCCAGACTCCCCCAGAGTGAGGTCGCCTCACTCAGAGCCCAAGGCTTCTAGGCTGCTTTAGGAGCCTGACAAAAAGATTTAGTTCATTCACCCAATCCTCACACCCCATCCCCACGGCAGTAGCGGGCTGAGCCCCCACATCCCACACCCCAGACCAACCAGACGCTGTGGGGCACCTTCCAGAACACTGAGAGTAGTAATTTCCAGAGTGCGCCCTGCAGCAGTTTCCACTGTAGCTGCTAACAAATAATAATAATAATAATAACGAGAGTACTTCCTGGTCAAAAGCAGTTTGGGAAAGGCTATGAAACCAGACACCAGATTCCCCGGGGCCTTGACTGCAGGACTTGTCAGAGCCCTGGGGTGGTCTAAGGGGGTGCGGGGAGTCGAGAAGCAGCATTTCCTCAATTCATTGGACGCCAACATCTTTTTTCCACAGGGTACCTCAGGGAACCCAGTTTGGGAAATGCTCATTTTCGTACCTGTTAGGGTACCTCAGGGAACCCAGTTTGGGAAATACTCATTTTTGTACCTGTCAGGGTACCACAGGGAACCCAGTTTGGGAAATGGTCATTTTCGTACCTGCCATGAGGTGAGCAGGTGAGGGGCCTACTTCTGCCATAGCACTAGCCGCACCCGCCCCGGCCACTTCCACGTCTCCCGGTTAAAATCTTCCAAAACTCCTAGCTGATGGGTTTACATTTCTACCTCGATGGTGATGCTGTCCCTGTCACAGGGGACCCGCCAAGTATGTTTCCTAATCGACGTGGTTGTAAGGGGGACACATCCCCAGCCCCGCCTCCCCACAGGAGCTGTGCTTGGGATGTAGCCCTTCGGGGCTGCAGAGGCAAATGTTCTAGAACTTGGTGAGATTCCCGGGTGGAGCGGACACCAGCGTCTGTTCGCTGTAGGAGGGGACACGCTGGAAATTGCAGCTGGGGGTGGCCCAGAGGGGACCACTAGGGGCCAGACAGTCAGGGCCACAGCCCTGGGGGCCTGTTAGACGCTAGGGGTGACACTGCCACAAGCACAGGGACTCTGGAGGGGGCCTGCTGGGTCCCCGGCTTCCTGGGCTAATGAGGGAGCCGCTTCTGGCTCCCCTGGGCCTTCTAGGGCCCCCAGGACCCCCTCTGCCAGCCCTGAGCATGGCCCCTCCGTCACCCCTGGCTTCTCCGTGGGGACCCCACACCCCGGGGCGTCCCGGTCCTCCTCCTGGCCGCCTGGCTGCTCTTCCTCTGACTTGCCCTCCGTCATCCTGGCTCCATCTCCACCGCTCGGGGCCGCCCTGGTGGGAGACCTGAGGTTCTGGGTGGCGGCGAGGATGTCGGCCTGGAGCTGCTGGGAGGAATCCAGGGCCTCCTCGGGCCGGCCGTCGGGGGCCCTGTCGGGGACCTCGCTGAAGGCCTGGGGGCCCCCGGCCCGGTCCCTCTGGTCCACGTACTTCTTCTTGGGGAAAGACGAGGGGTAGTAGGCGGAGGCCTTGTGCTTCTGGCGGGTGATGACGGCGGCGCAGACGATGAACATGACCAGGAGGACCAGCGAGCCCACCACGGCGATGAGCATCACGTACTCGCGAAAGAAGTCCACGATGCCGTCCAGGAAGTTGGTGGGGGGCTTGGGGCCCGCCAGGGGCGTGGGCTGGGGCCCCACTGACGTGGCGCTGAGGGCCGGGGTCCGGGGCGGCGGGAGGCTCGGGGAGGAGGCCGAGGAGTCATCGGCCTCCCCGCTGCCCCCCATGTCCTCCAGGAAGGAGACCTGCACGGGCACGGAGTGAGCCACGGCGGGCAGGACCCTTACGAGCAGCAGCAGCGACACGATGAGGCGGGGGGCCATGGCAGAGACCATGCTGCCCGGGACCTGTGGGGGAGCGAGGCAGGGAGAGGTCAGGGGTGGACTCAGGGTCTTAGGGGACCCCGAGGAGGTGCAAGAAATATGAAGTCACTTCCTTCCTCAGGCCTGAGCCTCCCCGTGGTACAAAGGACCCCCGTTCCTTCCTATGTGGGGTTCACACCTTCCCCCGCCCCCATCTCCACTCTGAGGTCCTGGAGGGCAGGGTCTGAATCTTTTTTTTTTTTTTTAATATATTTTATTGATTTTTCACAGAGCGGAAGGGAGAGGAATAGAGAGTTAGAAACATCGATGAGAGAGAAACATCGATCAGCTGCCTCCTGCACACCCCCCACTGGGGATGTGCCCGCAACCAAGGTACATGCCCTTGACCGGAATCGAACCTGGGACCTTTCAGTCCGCAGGCTGACGCTCTATCCACTGAACCAAACCGGTTACGGCCTGAATCTTATTTATCTCGGCATCCTCGGGGTTTGGCCCTGTATCTGGTATACAGCAAGTGCTCCATAAATGTATCTTGACTGACTTGAATTAATGGTAATAATTTAGCTTTTTACTGCTTGCCCTGTGCCAGGTACTCTTTTACCTTTTTTGATGTGGAATTTCTCATTGCCTCTTGAGGACCACCCAAGGGGGGAGGTGCTATTATTCGCCCACTTTCCAGGTATGGAAACTGAGGCTCAGATGGGGTTCCGTGACGTGCCAAGGCAGAACAGGGGCTTGAAGATGGCAGGGCTGAGTAAGTGAGGAACTGAGTAACTGTCAGCGGACCCCCCTCTTATGGGGAGTCCTCCCCAGCAGCCCCCAGCCCCTCTGGGGTCCCCTTCCCTTCTTGGGAAGAGTCATAGCTTTTGAAGCCTGCACGTGTTCTGAGCTCAGCAGAGGGCCTGCACGCCAGGAGCATGCTGGGAGCATCTGCCCCATGGCCAACTTCCCCTCAAGGCTCAGAGCAGGACCTGGAGGCTGCAGGGTAACCCCCGCCACCCCAGGGTAACCATACTCCCCACCCCTCCCCGTGCCTGAGACAAAGCTGGAGTCCACTGGAGCCTGAGTCCCGCCACTAAATGGGGACCAGCTGAGCTCTGCACCTCACTTGCTCCCAACATGAACCCTCAGGCCCTATCTGGCCCAGGCAGCCGGCTAGCTAATAACTTCCTCATGGCCCCGGTTTACTGACCCTCCCTGCCAACCTGAGTGGGGCTAGGCACTCAGATAAACCCAGAGACCCCCTTCGGTGGCCCCCAGGTCACCTCCTAGAACAGCCGTGGGCAAACTACGGCCCGCAGGCCGGATCCGGCCCGTTTGAAATGAATAAAACTAAAAAAAAAAAAAGACCGTACCCTTTTCTGTAATGATGTTTACTTTGAATTTATATTAGTTCACACAAACACTCCATCCATGCTTTTGTTCCGGCCCTCCGGTCCAGTTTAAGAACCCATTGTGGCCCTCGAGTCAAAAAGTTTGCCACCCCTGCCCTAGGACCCCATCCTGACCCAGTGGAGGGCCCAGGACCCTGACACTGAGTGGGGCTAGAGGCTCCAAGACAGAAAAGCCGTAGGATCGCGTCTGAGGCTCTCAGGGAACTGAGATGGGGAGACAGAGGCCCAGAGAAGGCGAGGGGCAGGCCGAAAGGCACACAGCAAGTTCCCAGGCTGAAGAAGGAAGTCAGGTGTCCAACACCTTGACCGCAGGTCCCCTTGAGTGCCTGGGCCGGACGCCCCGCTTCATTCCACGGGTGATGCACTGACCTCAGGGTGACCTGGGGGACTCGGAGATGAGGTCGGAATGACGCCAGGCCATTGAGTGGCATTTCCAAGGAAGCCGGGCCTCTCAATGAAAGTGCCATTCATTGAAGTTGACTCTGGACAAAGTGGCTCAGATGGCAAAAACAAAAGATAATTCCAGGGCATAGGAAGAGGCAACGCTGCTCAGGGCTCATCGTTAGGGAGCTGGTCAGTGCTTTCCTCACAGGCCCTCCTCAGAGCCCCTCTGTGGGTGCGAGCCTGCAGAAGCCCTGGGGGCCGGCCCTGCCATTGTCTGCTTTCAGAGGAGGAAACTGAGGCTCAGAGACGGACAGTGATTTGCCCCAGGAGAGACGATAGTGTCAGAGCTGGGGTTTGAACCTTCTTCTGTGTGACCCAAGTGTTCTATCTATCTATCTATCTATCTATCTATCTATCTATTATCTGTCTATCTCGGGCCCAGGGCTGGCCTCACGCCCCCTGGTTGGCATCACTCGTCAGCTGGGAAAAGATCTGAGATGCTACATGAGCTGCAGGAGCCTTCTCGGCCCCCCTCTCACGGGCACTTGTAGCAAAGGTCCTACTCAGCTTTGATCTCGGGGTCTAAGCCGCAGCAGTCCCCCTGCCTCTGCCTGCAGTCAAGCCCCAGGAGAGACCTCTCATGGTGGCAGCTGACCTTCTCACCACAGACCTCAGCCATGACCAGCAGTGGCTGAAGCCCAGGGCTTTCCCAGGGGCCGACTGTGGAGTCCCCTCGCTGCAGGTCTGCAGGCGGCAAAGCAGGAAGGCCGGTTAGGCCAGATTACAATCCGGGCTCCATCTCGGCTCTTCGGGGCCTCACTCTACCCATCTGTAAATTGGGGGCATGCTGGGGAGGGGAGCAGCTGAATTGCTACCCTAGCAGAGCTCCAAGGTCAGCCAGCATTTCCCCACAAAAGTCAACAAACGATAGTCCTCACCGAGATGTGCATTTGCTCACTATCTCCCCCCACCTCCAGGACAGGCCGACTTTTATGCCTCGGTGGGTGAAATCCCCTAAAGTCTGATCGCCGAGGAATCTAGAAACACACACACACACACACATGCACACTCACACGCATACATACATGCACACATGCACAGCAGAGAGCTGGAAAGAGAAAAGTGCTTCCTGCCCTGAAGCCTTGGGGTGAGGGGGACAGAGGACAGAGAAGGAGGCCACACAAACTATCTCTGGCTCTCAAAGGCCGAGAACCCATCTCTCAGAGGCCCCCACACCCCGCCACCCCTCGTGGCCCCCCAGGAAATATGCAGGCAAAGTGTGGGAGCTGGCTGGGCCTCTCAGGGGATCGCTGTGTGACCCCGCATGACGAGCCCTGCCCTCTCTGGCCTCAGCCTCCCATCCGTGGAATGGGTGCACTGGCCTGGGCATTTCTGAAATAGCCGCAGCCCGTCTGCTGCCCTCCCTCCTTCCCGGGTCCGAACTTGTTCCAAGACTCGGGAACTCATTGGCCATTAACAGCTGGGGTCAGGCCAACCGTCTCATTTTACCCGGAGGGAACTGGGCTGAAACTGGGATCGGGCTGCCCAGGGTCTCACAGCCTGTCAGGAGCCTGAACCGAACCCAGAACGGAGAGGCCTCTCAGAATACCCCACTGTGTCCCGCGTGTCATCTCCGGGCCTCAGTTTCCACATCTGCAGAGTGGGGATAAGGCCACCTCCCGGGACCATTGTCAGGACCAGACCGCAGCGCCCAGAGCTCAGTAGGTGTCAGTGAATGGGCGCCACATGGAGGAGAGGACCCCCGCTTGGAGCAGGGCCTCTCTGTAGAGCCGTCACAGGGTTTATTGTTTTAAAATGTGACGGCCCAGCCGATGCCAAGGATGCAAATCCACCCCTAAGACTTAGGTACCCCAAGACCTGAGGCCGAGGGGCCCCAGCAGCTGCTCCACCCCCATCCAGAGACTGGTAGCCAGAGGGGAAGGGCGGCCCAGGAAAACCTGGCTTCAATTAGTGGCCTTGGGGGAGGGGTCGGGCTGAAGCGCTGTGGCCCCTGCTGGGCAGCCGAGGGCAGGGACCAGGGCCCTGGAGGGAGGCCTGGGAGGGTTGGGGAACCTGAGGGCTCACACACACACACACACACACACACACACACACACAGCAGGGGCAGCATGGACACACAATACATGTAGGACACACAACATACGGACTCAACATCAGGCACCCCAAGAGCTCGCAGGGCCTGCCAGCACAGACACACAACACACAACGGGCTGATTCTCCGACAACACATGCACATCACAACCCCGTTCCCCCCATGGGTCCCCCCAGACCAGACAGCACAGTCCCAGCCACACCACCACCCGCCGACCCTGGGAGCAACCTCCCGGGCGTCCACTCGCAAGAACAACACATCCCCGTGCGGCAAGGCCGCAGTGCACACGGGGGCACACTCATCCCGCACCCCTGGCCCTCAGCACATCACACACGTACACAGCATCCAGCACACCCTCCAAACTCACACACACTTAGAGACGCCCCCCCAAGCACTCCCGCCGGCCCCAGTCCCTAAACGCCAAGACATGTCCGGGCTCCCCGGTCAGAGGAGGGGACGGGAGGGGACCCCGACTCACCAGTCCCTCCGCACACAGGCCTGGTCTCCCGCCAGGTGGAGCGAGAGAGAGTCCGTGCCAGTGCCCGGGCTGCTCTGGGCCGGCCGCCCCGCCCTCCTCCCGCCCCCTCCCTCCCTCCCCCTCTCTGGCTGCGGGGCCAGCTTGATTTCATTAAGGGGTTTAGGGTGGGGACAGGGGGAGGGGTGGGGCTGTGCTGGGCCACACACATCCCCCCTCGCTCACACTCCCGCGGGCGCCCCCTCCACGCTCCGGGGAAGCCCAGATGGGGCACTTCCTCCCTGACCATGGTCCCCAGGGTAGGCTGGGGCACACAGACAGACAGGGCTGTCCCACAGCGCCCGCCCCCCCCCAAAAAAAACCCAGCAAACTAAGGTCCTACCCTCCTGCAAAGAAGAGGTCAGGCGGTTCGGAGGCCCCTGGACGTGAGGGGGAAATTCCCAGTCCTTGGTTCCAGCTGTGACTCAGGTTTTCCGAGGCTCGGGGTGCAGAGTGGGAGCCGGGGTGTGTGTAAGGCAGAGCATGAGCGAGGCCTGCTGGAGGGTCCGGACTGGGGCAGGGAGCTCGTTATGGCAGCCACTGTCTGGCCCTGGTCGGTCCCCTGCCCCCTCCAGGCCTCGGTTTGCCCATTTGCAGGGTGGGTGGGAAGCTGTTGGGGCTCCCTCAGCAATGACATTCTAAGGTTAGTGGCCTCGGAGTGGTTAGAGCAGGAGCTGTGGCCCCACTTCACAGATGGGGAAAGTTGAGGCAGAGGAGTCCAAGTGGCTCAGAGGACTGAGAGGTCAGTCATAGCCCTGGATCTGGGACCTCTGGCTCACCTGAGGAGTCCAATGGGCCAGCGGCCCCTGCATTCATTCATCCATTCATTCATTCAGTCAGCAGATGAATGTTCTAGATGTTCTGCATGAACTCCTATAGGGCATCAGGCCTTGTCCCAAGCAGGCCTCAGAGGTGAAGCCCAGCCCTCAGGAGCTTGAAGACTTCCAGGGAGAACGACATTTATGTAAATTACTTTTTCAGAAAAGAGAAATGGGTCTGTGGCAGGAGAGGGGCCAGGCCAGGTGCTCGGGGACCCCAGGGCAAAGATGGTCCTGAGAGACAGAGTCAGGGCAGGGTCCTGGAGGACTTGACCGTGAACCAGCGGAGTCTCAACAAGAGAGTCCCTGAGAGGCATTCCCGGGGGAAGGACCAGCCTGGGTAAAGGCCCGGTGGCTGGAGGAGACGTGGACCAAAGGAAGGAACAGGGCCGTAACCAGTTTGGCTCAGTGGATAGAGCGTCGGCCTGCGGACTGAAGGGTACCAGGTCCGATTCCGGTCAAGGGCATGTACCTTGGTTGCGGGCACATCTCCAGTAGGGGGTGTGCAGGAGGCAGCTGATCGGTGTTTCTCTCTCGTCGATGTTTCTAACTCTGTATCTCTCTCCCTTACTCTCTGTAAAAAATCAATAAAATATATTTTTAAAAAAAGAAAAGGGCTGGGAAGTCAGCAGGAGTAGGGGAAGTCCCAGAATGTCATCCATTCAGCCTAAGACAGGGTCCGTTCTGTGTTCCCCCTTTAGGGGCAGAGCAGCCCCCAAAGGGAGTCCAGGAGCCAGAGGGAGACAGGCCCGGGTTCAAATCCTGCCTCCACCATGCCCTGCACCCCACAGAGCCTCTGAGGAAGGAGACAGAGGGCGTGAGCCTGCTGGCACCAGGTATACCAGTTAATAATGCAGATTTTTTTCAATAGATGGGGTTACACATATGTTGATATACATGCGATTTGATATGCATGCTATTTTGTTGTATTGACAACAAGCTTAAAACTTCATATGTCAAATATTCTGTTGGTATTAACATCATAGATATTTTTACGCTTAAAAATTCGAATTTCATGCCCAAAAAAAGAGCATTTGCGGGAAGTTTTAATTCATTACTTTATTTTGAAGAAAAGTGCTGCTGAAAGTTATCATATACTTCGGGCAGCTTATGGTGAACATGCTCCATCTCAAGAAACCTGTGAATGCTGGTTTAAACGCTTTAAAAGTGATGGTTTCGATGTGGAAGACAAAGAACGTCCAGGTCAACCGAAAAAGTTTGAAGATCAACAATGACAAGCATTACTGGATGAAGATGCGTGTCAAACTCAAAAATAACTTGCAGAAAGGTTAAACGTTGCTCAGCAAACAATTCCCGATCGTTTACAAGCAACGGGAAAGATTTTAAAGGAAGGAAAATGGGGGCCACATCAACTGAACGAAAGACAAATGGAAAACCAAAAAGTCATCAGTAAAATGTTGCTTCAAAGGCACGAAAGAAAGTCTTTTTTGCATCGAATTGTAACTGGCAGTGAAAAGTGGATTTATTTTGAGAACCCCAAACGCACAAAATTATGAGTTGATCCAGGTCAACCATCAACATCGACTGCAAGGCCAAATCGCTTTGGAAAGAAGGCATTGCTCTGCGTTTGGTGGGATCAGGAAGGTGTGGTGTATTATGAGCTTCTAAAACCAGGTGAAAACATTAATACTGATCGCTACCGACAACAAATAATCAATTTGAACCACGCTTTAGTCGTGAAACAACCAGAATGGGCCAGAAGACACGGCAAAGTAATTTTGCTTCATGACGCATAATCACACACCTCAAAACCAGTTAAAGACACGTTAAGAGATCTTGCCTGGGAAGTATTAACCCACCCGCCGTATTCACCAGACCTTGCTCCTTCAGATGACCACTTGTTCCGATCGATGGCACACGCACTTTCTAACCAGCACTTCACACGTACGAAGAAATAAAAAATTGGGGCTCTGAATGGTCTGCCTCAAAACAAGAAAAGTTCTATTGGGACGGTATCCACAAATTACCTGAAAGATGGGGGAAATGTGTAGCTAGCGATGGACATTACTGTGAATAAAGCACTTTTGATGTTTCTCTTGAAATTATCGTGTTTTCTTTGATTACAAAATCTGCATTTTTAACCAGTTAATAGTCAATCGCATTTTTAACCAGTTAATGGCTAATCTGCATTTTTTAACCAGTATCCGCATTTTTAACCGGTTAATGGCTAATCCACACTGGCCAGGCTAAGGCCTATGTTTAATCACACCTGCAAATCCCTTTTGCCATGGAAGGTGACATATTCATAGCCGCAGCTTCCCGGGACTAGGATGTGGACGTCTCCCACATGGAGGTTGAATATTGTGACCTATTCCCTGGGTTGCTGGGATCGTCCACCCTCTAAAGCACTTGGTTCCTCCTCCCAGAGCGCCTGCCACTGCACAGGCTCCGTCACTGCTCGGGGAGAGGTGAAGGGATGAGTGAAGCCCATTTGACAGATGCAGAAACTGAGGCTCACAGCAGTGTGACCTACCGAGATGCAGCAACATATTGAGGGTCAGAGCCCCGTCTCTCCCAGCCTCTGTGTCTCATGTGGAAATGAAGCTGCCAGGCCAGTGAGCCTCCCCGCCAGGGGCTCACCCCCCACAGCAGTGCCACCTCCCCCGGCACCGTTCACACACACACCCGCACACACAGACACACATGCTCTCCTTCAGCCAACCCACAAGCCCACCCTGCCATCTGAGGTCAGAACAGCAAAAATGTGAGCCACCGCGGGGAGGAAAAAGGACCCGGGATTTCCAGCCCCCGATCACACATCAACTGTGGGTGGTGGACCAGCCCCTGCCCCTCTCTGGGCTGCAGCTAAATACGGGGTTGGACTGGATGTCTGCCACAAGCCCGCCAGCACTGCTCTCAACACTCTGACTCTCAGTGTCACGCCCTGGGAGTCAGTGATGAGCAAACAAAGGCGCAGAGTTTACAGAGCAGAGGGAAGGCCTCCCGGAAGTAAGTAAACAAACAAGTGACTATCTAACTGCAAACGGGCGAAGAGTTGGGATGAGACAGCTCAGGGGCTGTGGGAGGCTAATCCTAGTCTGGTCCTGAAGGTTATGGAGTCCTTCCATGAGACAGCAGAGTTGCCCATGAAGATGAGGAGGTATTTAGGAAGGCAAGGATGCAAGAGGATTCCCAGCAGTGAGGGCAGCACGTGCAAAGGCCCTGGGGTAGACGGGAACCCAGCAGCTTCAGAGCCATTTCTGAAGATTAATATCGAGTGAGAGGAGACGGACCAGCTCTGTTCTGTGCACTGCCTTCCCTCCAGCAGCCAAGACAGTGCCTGGAGCGCAGCAGGTGCTCAATAAATGCTTGTCGATGTGCGAATACCCACGCTGACCTCCACGCTTGCGTTCCCACCTTTTGACAACTTCATGCCCCGAGATTTTGCTCTTCGCCCTCCCCGAGGATCTCACATTCCCCAGTTCCAGGAGCGTTTCGGGGCGCAGGCTGGATGATCCCCACAGCCTGCCCTGCTGTGGCGCCAAGGGGGTGGGGGTGGGGGCACAGGCAGGCCGCTGGCATGCAGCCGCTCACTTGCAACCTGCAATTTCAGAGGCAGAGAGCAACGGGCCCTCTGCCCAGCCTTGAAGCCATTCAGCGACCTCACCCTGTGCCCACCGTGCAATTAGCAGCCATGACCCCCGCCCTGCTGAACAGCACGGCCGAGGAGGCAGGGAGGGCCAGGGCAAAACCCACCCTCCTCAAGTCTCTGCCAGGGTCCTCCCCAGTTGAGCCTGGGGCGGGGCCCCCCGCACCCCTGCTCCAGCTTCTCGTGGGCTCAGAGCCCCTTCTAATTACACAGCTCCTGGCCACTAGGGCCTGCGCGCTGGGAAAAAATAGCCCACGCCTTTCATGTGGCCAGAGAGGCCGGGCTGCGGCCCACAGGCCTGGTCTTCAGAGGGACACCCGTGGAGCAGCCTCCGCTGGGTGCTCCGAGGAGGTGGAGCGAGCTTCATCCACGCAGGCCCGAGCGTGAGGTGTGCCGTGAGACCTCTGGGCCTCAGTTTCCCCAACTGTCAACTCAAGATGCTCCCTTATTTCTCGGTTGTTCCCCAGCGGCCAGGCACAGGGGGAGCTGGGAACAAGACAGACGCGGCCACCCCTCTGCTCCGGCTCTTCCCTCTGCCCCTTGCCTGACCACCCCCTGCACATCTCACGGCTCAGTCATCACCACCTCCAGGAAGCCCTCCCTGAACCCCAGCCTCTGGG